TATTTATTTATTTATTTATTTATTTATTTATTTATTTATTTATTTATTTATTTATTTATTTATTTATTTATTTATTTATTTATTTATTTATTTAACTTATATGCCACCCACACAACCCAAAGGTCTCTGGGTGGCTTACAAATTATTCTTCTTACAAATATCTCAGAGTGAGTTTATTGAGGCTATAAGCACCAGTCTGATGAGGAAAAGGGGTGGACTCATATGGGAAACTTGAAACTATTCTGCTCGGTGGAATCCCTCCACTTCCCTGATAGCGCTAGAACTGCCTTGTGAGCCCTCCAGTCATCTTCCAGGCCTTGTTGATTTGAAACACAGCCTGGAGCGTATGGCCCACCTTTCCCGCTCCGTTCATTACCTCCACCAGCCATCTGGGCACACTTGCAACCGCAGCGGTCATTGTCCACATCTTTGGTGCTAAATTCCGTCCCGGAAGGGCTGAGGCTGCTCATGCGTCCGGCGGTGCCGCTAAACTTTCTCACGTAAAGTCTGGAGAAGGGAGAGCAAGCGCGTCCCTGTCAGGGACCCTCCTCAGCAACATCGACCTGAAATTGGCTTGGCTTTCGATTCAAGAAGGATCCGTGTCACATTTTGGAGCAAGGATTTGGAAACGGAATGGTTTCGACTACAACTCCCACGATTCCCTCCTACCCCTGCTGACTGGAGGGTTCTGGGAACTTTAACCAAAAAAGCTTCCCAGTTCCGATTCAGATGTAGTCAAATGGATGAAGGAATTTTCCTGGTTCGTGGAACTCAACCAACGAGCAACCAAAATGGGTTGTCAGCACCCTTTATGGTGGCTCCATGACTGATATTACAATACTTGAAGGACGTATACCTTTCTTTTCTTAATCAATGGAGGGTCCTGTGACATTTTCAGTATTTGAATTTATATTATATCTATAATCATCATCATCGTGTGCCATCAAGTAAATTTTGATTTACGGCAACCCTTTCCAGGGTTTTCCAGATAGAAAATGGACCCTCTTATCTGTGAGATCAGTATCGGCTGATTCACTTACCGGTGGACTGAAAATATTAAAAATATTAAAGGGAAAAAATCCCATAAATATATATTTCTAACAATGAAGTTACTGGAACTGGCCACTAGAGGGAACCAGAGACCGTGCTCTGTATTTTGCTGGGAGATGCCGGGATAACGCTCTGACCCTTAAAGGAAGTCCATAAATATCAAGGATTGTTCTCTCTGTTAAAAAAAATGGTGTTGTATATTCCTGCAAGAAGGCTCACCGATAGTTCTGCTCCTCAGGACCCACTTGGAAGTGTTCATATAGGGAATAGGCCTCGTTCTTTTCCCAGTCTTGGAGACCGATCCGGAGGGAGTAAGGTCTCTGTGTGGTCAGCAAGTGGATGAAATCATTGCCCAGCCAATATTCTCCTGGGGGTGACCCAAAGCCCTGCAGTGGATATACAGACATGGGGCCGTGAAGCATACGGAGGGCATTGACAGAGGTTTGGTACAATATGTGACAGATGCCATGATGGTCCAGCTGAAACTCAAGGTGCCCTTCTGGCTTGGTGGGAGCCAGCAATGAACTTCGGCACCCACCCCCTGCACCAATGCTTCCCAAAGTGGGGTCCCCGATGCTCCTGGACTGCAACTCCCAGAAATCCTGGCCCAGCACCGCTAGTGGCGAAGGCTTCTGGGAGTTTTAGTCAACATCTGGGCACCGAAGGTTGGGAAACATTATAAACTATCAAATGCCTTTTTTTGTACTCAGAGGCATCCTTGAGCCCTGACCTGTTTATATTCCTTCCAGGTGCGCTGGAAATCCACAGCTCCATCCTTCCGGTGCTGGATGATGGTCCAACCTCCTCCGCTGGTCTCCATGTCACAAAGGACCTGGGGGTTTGCAGAAATGAAAACGATGAACGAAAATGGCCAACGCTTGCTGGAGAGTTGCTGTTATTATGGTCTTTGTGTCAGCAACACATTCTTTAATATGAAGCTTCAACACAGAGTTTCCTGGAGACGCCCAAGATCCAAGCATTGGCATCAGCTCGACTTGATCCTCACTAGACATTCTAGCCTTCCCAGTATTACGATCACACACAGTTAACAGAGTGCTGATTGTGATACTGATCACTCCCTAGTGTGTAGTAGAGTAAAACTGCAAACAAAGAGATTGTATCACACGAAAAAAGGAAGGAAGACCACATATTGACATCAGCAAGACTCACAATCAAAGAAAAGTAGACGAATTTGCACAAGCGCTTGAGGAAACCATTACAGGCCCGGCTGATTCAAATGCAC